ATCAGAGTTGCAGCTGTGAAACTGGCAACTGGAAAGCAGAATTTGTTTCATTTGAAGGCAGAATTGAATGTGAAGATCTTGATAAGTCTTAATTTTAAAAACTTTTCATGTTTCTTAACTGTCTATTTTTGGGAAAAACCTGCTTTTGTCTGTACTCAATTAGATTTATAAATAGATATTTCAGAGGCATTTTCCATAGCAGTTGTAAAGAATACTTTTGCTTTGTTTCTTAATATAGATTCTTTATGTGCATCCTTACTCACTAAAACAATGCCTAGACTGAACAACCGATTAATGTTGTCAGCAGTGGGCGAATTAGTAAAAACGAGTGGTGTGGTTTTTCGGGAGGGTGAAGAAACGCGCGTGGCTAAAATGCTTCTGAGACGATTTTTTTCTAGCAGTACAATTTTTAAGTATGGCTGGTTGAAACTGCTCCATCGAAATTGTTTCTCAACAATAAATTAGTATGTTGACTAGAAACATGTTTTTCCTCCAGAAATGTTTCTTCTGGAAGATGTTGATTCTTCTTCTTTTAAAAAGTCATGGCACACAAAGCCAAAATATTTCAGCCAAACTTGCTAAATGTTTTTTAGAGAAAATTATGTATAGCTATATTTGCACTGGGGAAAAAACCCCAAACCCGTGATTGGAGCCTAGTTGCCCTAAGCTTTCTTTACAGGTAAAGCTGGCAGTGAAAGTGGTGTCCCAGAAGGTGACAGATCTTAGAGCCATCTAACTTTTTTTCTGTCTCCCAGATCTTGCACAAATCTGAACTTGGTGACTCGCCCAAATTTGTGGCATAGTAAGATGTTAAATAAGGTCTGTCTTTCTGTAAGGACTGAAACATGTTGATAGGCAGGATAGGAATGCTGTATTGTCACTGCCTGTGCATTTGATGTTTCTGAGATTTCAGACCTAGAAGAATTATTTTGGCACAAGACTGACATGAGCAATATGAACAAGGGTAGAACAGTACCGAAAAAGTGTTTTGTTCGTTCAGTGACTCTGTTTTCTCTCCTCAAAATAGATATCTCATAAACTGGAAAGGAACTGGTTAGTAACAAATGAGAGTTCAAGAGGGAAATCAAATGTCCCAGTACTAATTAGCTGAAATTAAGATCATTCAAATATTTATATAGGGAAGGCAAGTATTCCGGGAACATGCTGGAATAAATCACATGGCTGGAATATTAATAGAGAGGCAATAAATCTGCACAGAAGGAATCAAGGTGAAAATGTAGGGGAGGGATTGTACTATTCATCAAAAGACAATTATATTAGCAGTTAAATACAGATGGTTAGTGAAAGACGTGGTAACAATGAAATTTTATGTGTTATGCTGACAGAGAAAATATAAAGGGGAATTAAAATGGAACATTTACTGTTGGCCACAACGTCAGGAGAAAGTGGCTGAACCAAATACAGAAGAAGGTGAAGGAAACTTGGATCCATCCCCCTATTCTGTTACTTCCTTCCCTGAGCGCAAACTTGCGTGTGCGTATGGTTCAGCTGCAAGCCTCTGGTCAGGTGGGAGCTTTGGGCTAGTGCAGAAGGAATTTGAACCTGTGCTATCAATGAGCATAGACCTGAGGAGTTGTCCACAGCTGGTCCCTGTGTGGTCAGCATCTGGCAGATGAATCTCCTGGCCTGTGCAATTTGCAAGCAGCCTGATCATTTTACTCCCCCAGGCTGCAGGTATCCTTCGTGGGTAGCACTGACACGCGAAGCGAGGTTGGGAAGAATGCCTGCTGCTCCATTTTTGTCTTGGAAGACTGTACATTTGAATCTTAGACAGCTAAAGTGAGAGTTAAGTCCCATAATCCAACAGTGACGGGCTTCAAAACTACTCTATAACTGCTTAAGTTTTTGTTGCTGAAGTTCCTTAAGCCGCTGAAGTTCTGGGGCATGTCCTGTGCGGCTCCTGTCTTGGCAAAATCACCCAAGTCTTCTGAGGACCTGCCTGTCTGGGCAGTCTGGGTGCATCTGGTACGGGCGAGGAATTGGTTCTCAGAAACCTCAGGATGAGCAGGCAGAGGAGATGTTGCCCTTTTATACAGGCAATCAGTAGCTCTCCTGTTGTAGGCAGCATTTTATTAGTTACCAATTAAAGATGTACATATTTTTTTGCATTATTACCTCATTTCTCACTCCAGGAATCAAAGTGACTAGCCTGGGTATTACTGCTTTAATTTAGTTTCTTGTCACTTTATTTTGCTTAGAATATTTCTTTGGCACATAAAAAAAAAAAAAAGGATGTAAAATTATTAAAAAAGAGCTTGATAATTTGGTAATTTATTAATTGTTACATTGCTCCATTTTTTTGTGTGATTGACTGTTTTGTTACTGTGTTCAGGTGTATTGGGTTTGTGTGGCAAGGTTTTGGCAGTGGGGGGGCTACAGGGGTGGCTTCTGTGAGGAGCTGCTAGAAACTTCTCCCATGTCTGACAGAGCCAATGCTGCCGGCTCCAAGATAGACCCACTGTTGGCCAAGGCTGACCCCATCAGCGATGGTAGTAGCGCCTCTGGGATAACGTATTTAAGGGGGAAAAAACTGTGCAACGGAAGCTGCAGCTGAAGCGAGGAGTGAGAATTTTTGAGAACAGCAAGTCTGCAGACGGCCAGGTCAGTGAAGAAGGAGAGGAGGAGGTGCTCCAGGTGCTGGAGCAGAGATTCCTCTGCAGCCCGTGGGTAAGACCATGGTGAGGCAGGCTGTGCCCCCACAGCCCCTGGAGGTCCATGGTGGAGCAGATATTCACCTGCAGCCCATGGAGGACCCCATGCCAGAGCGGGTGGATGCCTGAAGGAGGCTGTGACCCTGTGGGAAGCCCGTGTTGGAGCCAGGCTCATGGCAGGACCTGTGGGCCTTCATGGAGAGATGAGCCCGTGCTGGGAGCAGATTTGCTGGCAGGACTTTTGACCCCGTGAGGGACCTACACTGGAGTAACTCTGTTCCTGAAGGACTGCACCCTGTGGAAGGGACCCACACTGGAGCAGTTTGTGAACTGCAGCCCATGGGAAGGACTCTCTTTGGAGAAGTTCGTGGGGGGCTGTCTCCCATGGGAAGGGCCCCACGCTGGAGCCGGAGAAGTGTGTGAGCAGTCCTTCCCCTGAGGAGGAAGGAGTGGCAGAAACAACATGTGATGAAGTTACCACAACCCCCATGCTCCATCCCCCTGTGCCACTGGGAGAAGGCGGTAGAGAAAATCTGGAGCGAAGCTGAGCCCGGGAAGAAGCAGGGGGGGGAAGGTGTTTTAAGATTTATTTTTTATTTCTCATTACCCTACTCTGATTTGATTGGTAATAAATTAAATTAATTTTCCCCAAGTTGAGTCTGTTTTGCCCATGATGGTAATTGGTGAATGATCTCCCTGTCCTTATCTTGTCCCATGAGCCTTTCATTATATTTTCTCTCCAGTTGAGGAGGGGGAGTGATGGAGCGGTTTTGGTGGGCACCTGGCATCCAGCCAGGGTCAACCCACCACATCAGGTAAAGGGAGGGAAAAGGCAGGACTGTTCCAGTTTTAGTTACTGCTTTTTAGCATATACTGCTTAAAAATCAGCATTTTTTCTAGGTAGTATATAATACTTCCATGTAATGGCAAAAGGGTTCAAACAATACAGAGCCTGAAAATGTCAGTTGTGGAGGAAATGAACCGGCGTGGGTTTTTTTAATTTTTCTTGGTTTTTATTAAGCTTTATAATGTCGCATGGCCAGAAAGCATGCATACCAGTGAAGGGTGAAAGCAAAGACAATGATCTGTATAAGAAACATAACGCAGGCAACATACAGTCCTATTGCAGAAAGGTATTGTATTCCCAATAAGAAGGTCAGAAATAAGAACTCTCCTTTCTGGAGAGCCTCTCGCGTAAAAGCTTGGACTGATTTGGATCATGAGGGCTGTAAGCAGACTGTAAGTTACCTGCTGAGGTGGTGGCGTGCCCTTTGGAGAAGGCACAGTGCTGCAGTTCAGCATCTCCCCTCACAGCCCAACTAACATGGGGAAAAGACTGATTTTCCTTTGAAAACAGCAAGAGATCTTAGAAATCTCAGATACAAGGTTTCTCATTGCAATGTGCAGTTATATGTGTTTTGAACACTTTGATAGCACAAGCTGGTGATTTAAGCTTAGGATCTTTTCATTTTACTAAGCAAAATTAAATGTTGAGAGAACATCTCCACAGGGAAGGTCTGACTGCAGTTTACACAGATGTACCCTAGCTAGAACAGGAACTGATAGCACAAACTTGGTGCGGACAAGAAGATCTGTAAATCCAAGTAAATACTCAGGCAGTCTGTGCTGAACTCCATATCGGTTCAGTTACAGTGCTATTCGTAGCTCAGCTAGCTTGTTAAAGCTACTTTGGGTATTTCAGCATAAGCTGCTAGAACACTTCTTCTTCAGACCGGGTATTCATTCAGGACACAGAGCATAATTTTCTCCTTTCTGTATGCCTGTCTCCAGCAAAGGCAAACATCTGTGTGATTGTAGTCATGTTTGGCAGCAGCATAGGCATACCCTTAGATCAAACTATTGGAGCGCAGTTGCAGTATCTAGTACTCCTTCCTTCATTCCAGTAAAATAAACATGATGTGACTTCATTCACACCAATTAATTTAGAGGTTTGTGGACTATGAGTAATGCATACATACATTTTACGTTGAGTTTTTCTAGTTTGTTCTAAAAAAAATTCGAAGCATCCTACTGGAGACAGCCATGGCAAGGCCCTGCCATGGAAACCCAGGCGGTCACCTTGGCTGCCTGTGTCAAGAATCCTGGGCAAATAGTTTAGGAAATGGTGAAAACTAGTTGTGAGGAGGGTATTCCCCTGAATTTCTCTTTATAGTGATGTAAGAGCAGGGATGTAAGGACTTCTCTTCTTGAATTTCACTCGTTCAGGCTCTGTGGTTGTTGGCATGCTTCGGACCACCTCCTCAGGGTCAAACACGAATCCATTTTTTTCTCTGGAAGGATAATGGGCCCATTGCTGCAGCATGTGGCATGTCCTCAGTTGGTCTAAATTGGCATCATGAATCTACTGCAGAAAATCTTGGCTCTGTTGAAGTCAATGGCAAAACTCTCACTGACTTCAGTGGGGGATCAGGATTTATTCCAGTGAGTTCAGTGGAAGCACAGTTTTTACCAACTGCAGATCTGGCTCCATTGTTTGACACTTGTTCTCCATTTGGTTTTGTTTAAGAGAAAACTTTAAAGAAAGTTGTAAGACAGCTCCAGCAGCCCTGGAGCCCATGGAGCTTTTGGGTCTCGGCCCCAGGTGATAAGATAATAACATATACACATAGAACTTGATTTCTGTATAGCAATAAACTTCTACATGAAGGCAGTCACTGATTCTTTTTGTTTATATCATTACTCTGCAGTACAGCTGTTATCCATATTAAAGCACATTTTCTAACCTCCAATTTGTTCAAGAATCAAAATCCATCTTAATTAGTAGAACTATTGGCTGGGTTGTTTTGTATTTCTATAATATGCTCTGTCTCCTTACTTTTCTCTGGATGCATCATATACAAATAAAAACTTTGATTTCGAATATAGGGCCAACCCCTCTTCCTTTCAAGTTTATGAGCAGAAGTTATTTCAATTTGAGCAGGATGGGACGGATGGAACATAAAAAAGCCACATCATCAGCTTAAAATACAAGTCCAATAAAAATGAAGTTGGAACTTTACCAGCTGTGTACTGATGAAAGTATATGAGATTTTAAGTAAGAGAAGCTGCTCAATATGGACTCACAAACAAAACAAAACAAAAAATGAGCCAATAGAAAAACAAACCAAAAGGAAGAACTGGGAGAAGCACAGTGCAGACAGCAATCCCAAGCAGAGGTCATTTAAAAATATAAGTAAAGGGATGTCTGAATGTAATGTACAAATTGATCTACTCCATTATTCAGAATAATCTTTCCCTTTTTATCCTTAACCTAAAAAAATGGGAAAACCAAACCAGAACAACAAACGAAGCAAGCAGAGAATCATGTACTGCCATGATTGATCAGGCATGGGGTCTGTAAAACCTAGTCACTGGCATTCACACTCCTATCTAGCTGTTATTTTTCTTCTATACTTGTGTCCATAATACAGGGTTGGAAGGTAATAATTGGACCTGTAGTCATACAGGCACAAGAATAGTTAAGGATACCCAGGAAAATTCCTTGGCAGAGGACCAGCTTCCTGCAGGAAGCCATTGCATGCAGATTTCCAGAGGGGTATAGTACATGCAGATACAGTGTGAGTCCGTCTGCGGTAGGTCAGGCCATGGAGCGGTGAGGACAGCGAGGGCACAGGAAGGGCTATTAGGATTCAGCAAGGTTAAAGAGTAGAGTGGTGAAAACAGCAAATGATCCCGATAATGTAACAGCTGAGTAAATATATACATTATCTGTAAGGAATAAGCAGTATGGCATTTATCCTGGCCATATGGAAACAAATATAACTTGTTTTTTTCCATAAAGGCCACTCTCGATTATTTAATTATTTTTTAAAATCTTCTTCTATATCGTATTTATAGTATTCCTGAATGCTTTCAGGGTCTATCTCTCCAATTGCAGATACTTAATATAAGATGGCTTTGCAGCAAGTAATTTCAGTCTTATTAGCAAGCACTCGAAACAATTTTTTTCCCATGAAATGGCTGCTTAGAGTAATTTATTTTATCAGACGAGCATCTCTGATCATGGTTTGCCTATGTTGGTGGCACTTTTTCCATTTGGGTCCTTGCTTTCGACGGGAACCCAAGACTCCAACAAAACTCATGCCGAGGTGCCTTAAGTTTGCCTAGTCTGGCTCTGGTTTCCTTGAACCACCGGTTTCCACGGGAATTCACCGGCTGGAGCCGGGACCGCGCAGCCCGATTGCGGGGCACTGCCCCAGCGCCCGGGGGACTCCCGACCCCGGCGGGGTGCGTGTGTGCGTGTCTCTTTTTTGCCGCAAACCGCTTTTGACCAACTCCCATCCCCGTTCCCAGGACCCGTCCCCGGCGCGCCCTCGGCAGCGGGAGGGTCCCGCCCGGGGAAGCCCCGCGGTGCTCGGGGCTGCCCGGC